ACACACACACACACACACACACACACACACACACACACACACACACACACACACACACACACACACACACACACACACACACACACACACACACACACACACACACACACACACACACACACACACACACACACACACACACACACACACACACACACACACACACACACACACACACACACACACACACACACACACACACACACACACACACACACACACACACACACACACACACACACACACACACACACACACACACACACACACACACACACACACACACACACACACACACACACACACACACACACACACACACACACACACACACACACACACACACACACACACACACACACACACACACACACACACACACACACACACACACACACACACACACACACACACACACACACACACACACACACACACACACACACACACACACACACACACACACACACACACACACACACACACACACACACACACACACACACACACACACACGCACACACGCACACACGCACGCACGCACGCACATACATACACACGCACGCACGCACGCACGCAGCGAACGTAATATCTTACACGAGGCGCGGCGGCAGGGGTGTAATGTGTCGAATATACATATTTACATATTGTACAAACCGCCTCTCTCGTATCGGACATATAAAATTACAAAAAGTCATCTACCTAGTCAAGAATTCAGAGTCGAAGCTAGCATCATGATTCTATTATCGCGACGAAGACGTCAAAATGCGACGACGCGTGTCAATTACGTGTATGTATATATACAATGTACATACGTACACAGACGCATGCTGCGTAGTAGCGTATTTACATGGGTTCGCGCGCAGGTAAGTAAGTATTTACACGAAAGGTGAAATCGCCGCCAAGGGGAACAGCTCAACGATCCGCTCGCGCGCACGCGCGGGTGCGTTTGCTTGCTCGCTCACTTGCGCCTTATTGCTCGCTGAAAAGTCGTCGAGTGAAGTAAACGGAGGTAAACGTGGGCGGGACAGGGTGCCCCGGAACTCTCAACCCACAGACAACAAGCCTCGAGTCTATACTTATAATTTATTTGTGGTTTGTAAAATACTTGCAATATTTGTCATTAAATAATCTCTACGCGTTCAAGTTAATTGAGTCCTACTGAAATCATACTGATTCGAGACTAGATTTCGATTAAAATAAAAATATCAAATTATATATATATATATATATATATATATATATATATATATATATAATTTCTTATATATATATATATAATATTATATATGTGTATATATGTATATATATATATATATATATATATATATATGTGTGTGTGTGTGTAATTAATTATGTATATTTTATACATATATTAATTATATACACATACACACATATTATTAATGTTGAATAATCAATATTTTAATTTTTTGAAAGTTTTCTTAATTTCTCGTCACAATCACGCATTGCAATCAAGTTGTACGAATGATCTTCTTTCAGTCTCATCGAAAGAAACTTAATTCCGCGCATGTTAAAGCAAAGCCGAGGCACCCTGTATACCTGAACGAAACGCGTTCTTTCGCGAGACGCCATTCAAAAATTCGCATTACACCGAGGGTGCGCATACGCGCAGCCGCGACGCTAAGGGGGAGGCCGAAAGTCTTATTACGTAGAGTAGAGCGAAGGAAGACGGGGGTGAAGAGAATAATAATAAAACAAAAACGAGACGTAAGGAACAATGACAAGAGGGGAAACAAGAGAGAAACGTCGATCACGTTCCGGTGATGGCAAAGAAGAAGAAAAATTGTCGCGCATCGTCGAGCCAAGCGGTCGCTCGCGGATGAGCCGCGACAAGTAACACGATGGGTATTCTCCGAGTCTCCGGAGACAACAATTATGATACGCGGACATTCAGTCCCTCTCCTTTCGCGACGACGTCTCTCAACTATGTACACGCGTTGTCTCGCGTGGTTTCGCGGCTCGGTCGGTTCACGACGTCGTCTTTGTGTTCGACACGCAGTACGTCGACGCCAGACGTGGACGTCGCGACGACATCGTGATCGCGAGCGAACCTGCGGACGAGCACAACGAGATCGAGCACAACCTTTCGAGCGCGAGCTACCACCGTCGCTCGTCGCAGTCGTCTGCGAGTCGGTGGTATCACAGTTCCGGCTTCTTGGACGTAGCAGCTTCGGATACGTCGTTGTCGCCGCGGAAACACCAGGGGTGGTCACGAGGAGCTAAACCAGGTAGGCCTGTCCGGAGGACGGCGGGGGTGGCGGCGGCGGTGGTTGTTGTTGTTGCTGCCTCCAGGCGGTCCTCTCCAGGGTGGAGTAGTCCGAGTCGATGGACGAGTAGATGTGTTCCGACAGCGGTCTCCTGTGGTCCTCGCCGATGCCGCAATTGACGGTGGTAGTAGTGGTGGCAGCAGTGGTGGCGGCTGTGATGAGATTACCGGCTGGAACGCCGGCGACCGCGTCCCGGTAAGCGTGATTGACAGTGAGTCTCGGCTGCGCCGGCGACGACGGCAACGGTTGTTGCTGTTGCTGCTGCGATATCACCGGTGCCGCACCGCACGAATATGCGGGCGGCGCGTGCTGCAACATCAACGCCGACGAGGCGTCTTTGAAAAGCGCAGCGCGTTGGCCACCGCGTAGCGTCGACATGCCCGTTTTTTCGCTTATGCCGACTCCGACGCCGCTGTCCAACGTGTAGGTGTTGATGTTACGCTTATAGACCAACGGCGAGGACTTGCTCTCAATGGAGACGTCGCCGACAGTGGCGGTGGTGTTGCTGGTGGCAGTGGTGGTGATGGTGGTGGTCGTGGACGGCGGTATTGCGTACCTCAGTCGCTCCCAGAACCTCTTCTCGCCCCACGTGAGTATTAATGCTGCTGATCTTAAGTAGGGTCGCAGCTCGGGATCACGCTCCACCTCGATGCCGATGTGGCCAGCTTGGATAATAATCAGCTGGGAGGCACGGCCGCGTAGAGCCTCGTGCAACGCCGCACGGAATTCGAAGCGCGACCACTCGGTTTGTAGAAAGTCGCGGGTTAGTATGATTAACACACGTCTAGAAGCATCCACCGCCTCGAGGACGGCTGGCGCGGGTGCGGAGGCGCGCAGCACGCAAGGTAGGTCGCGATGATGAAGACAGAGCCGCAATCCAGCCGGTCCATGCTCTAACTCGACTGCCAACGAATGCAGCACAAAGTCCTCATCGTTCGGACTGTAGCACACGTAGCAGTCGTAGAGACGATCGCGGTCGACATCACAGCAACCAGCCATGGCGGAGGCGGTGCTCATGGTCGCCGTGGTCACGGCCTTGCCGGGTTTCGCGCGAAGAAATCGCAGTCCGTACTTGGAGTAAGCCCATGCGCCGACCGGCTCGCGGAACACGAACGCGAGCACTATGATTACTAACAGAACGAGTATGGCCGACAGAGTCGCAGCCACCAACGGCAGATAGTCCGACACCATGATACTCTCAATAACGCCACCTTGAGCGAAGTAATCCGAACAGGCGGTTTCGTTGACGTTGAGACGACGTCGATAGGCCGGTCTGGCGTCGCCGCCGTAGTAACACCACACGTCTCCGGCATCGATCACTTTGTGCGCGTTGTCCGACACCCAGGAGGACAGCTCCTGCAGGAACTTGCAGCGACAAGACCACGGGTTGCCGCCAAGCGACAGTTCGACCAGTCGCGCGTTTAAAGTGACTTGCCACACGGGGAAGGTCACCAGACGATTACCGTGCAGTCGAAGGATCTCGAGCGATCGCAACGGCAGAAACGTTAGATTGCCGATGAAGCCGATTGCATTGTTTTGCAGATAGAGTTCGCGCAGATGCGATAGCCGCTCGAACTCGAAACCCTTGAGTTCGCGTATTCGATTGTCCTCGAGATGCAGGATCTGCAGATTGTTGAGCCCATTGAACGTGCGATTTTGGATGGATTCGATGCCGCTCGCGTTCACATACAACACGCGCATGTTCTTGCGGCCGATAAACACGTGATTCTGCAGCTCCCGTAGCACGTTGCCGTCCAAGTAAACCTCGGTGGCGTCCATCGGTATCCTACGAGGTATCTCTTCGACCCTAAGACCCGAGCAATCCACCGCGTTCGTATTCCACGTGCGGTCGTTGTAACATTTGCAGCCTGCTGGGCAGGTCATCTCGCAATCGCACGCGTCGAACTCACAGCAATGGCAAAGAGCGAAGCAGTGCGCCTCGTAACGACAGAGGAATTGCTCGGATCGCGCGCTCGATGCGGTAACGATGGCGATGCCACGAGGTCCTGAAGTGCGGCACATTACGTTGTCCAAGTCCATGACACGCGGATACTCTCTCGTGGAGGTCTGATTGTTGATAGCCGGCAACCAGTCCATGGAGCAGTTGCAGTTGAATGGGTTACCGCCAATGTAGAACTCGGGCAGGGGTTTGTTATCCGGTACCTTGGTTAGCAGTAGCGACGTCAGTTCCATCGTCTCGATCATGTTGGCGTACATATCGACTCGCGTGAGATTCACCTTGTCGGCGAACGTGTTGGGTCGCACGGTGTTGATGTAGTTGTTGTTGATGAACAGCAGCTCCACGCTGTCTGGCACGGACGATGGCGAGAGCTCGGTGATGCGATTGTGACTCGCGTCCAAGGTCTTCACTTTAGACTCGCGGATCTTGTAATAATTGCCAAGGCTCTCGATAAAATTGCCGTGGATGTCGAGCCACTTGAGATTGCCCGGTATAAAGGCGTAATCGAACCATTCGATGTGATTCTCAGACAGGTTCAGCAGTAGCAAACTGCTGACGCTAGTGAAGACGCCGTTGATGTCCGATAGGAAATTGCCGTCCAGTCGAATCGCCTCGAGCCGGATGTTGCGTTCGAACGAGTGTCGCTCGACGTGTTGTACCTTGTTACGGGCGAGATTGAGGATCTGCAGGTTTGGCAGATCCCAGAGCATGCCGCGCGATAGATTACCGATGTCGTTGCCGATTAGACGCAGACCCGTGAGCTGGTGGAGATTGCGGAAGGAGCCGTTGTGAAACTCGTTGATGTGATTTTCGCCGAGGTCGAGGGTCTTGAGGAAGGCGAGGTCGCGCAGCGCATCTGGCACCGCGACGAGCTCGTTACTACTGAGATCAAGCTCCTTGAGGTCGGAGCAGTTGCGAAACGCCATAGGATCGACGCTGCCGATCGCGTTCCCCGACAGGCTCAAGCGATTTAACACGAACAGGCCGTTGAAGAGCTGTGCTCCCACGGCGTGCAATCTATTGTCGGATAGCTCGAGAGTATGGAGATTATAGAGCGGCAGGAAGGCGTTACTTTCAATACGATCGATCGAGTTGTTGCGGAGGTCGAGGATCTGCAGGAAATATAGGTCCTTGAACATGCGAGCGTCGATACGCGTCAACTGATTGTACGACAGATCAAGCACGATTAGACGGATCAAACCAAGGAAGGTGGTGTCGTCGACGTGGTCACTGTCGAGCCGGTTGTTAGCGAGATTCAAAACTAATAGTTGCTCGAGATTGGTGAAGACGTCGCGCGGCAGATCGCGCAGACCGTTGTGCGCCAGATGAATCTCCCGTAGGTCGCGTGTGCTGGCGAACAAACCCTCCGGCAACGTATCCAGGGCGTTGTAGCTGGCGTTGAAAGTGCGCAACACGGCGAGACCGTTCAGGGCGTTCTGTTCGATCCTGATGATCGCGTTACGCTGCAAATAGAGCTCCTGCAGCTGCCGCAGACCAATTAGCGGCCCGTCCTCGGTTAATCGTTGCAGCTCGTTACGCGATAGATCCAGGATACGAATGTCGGCGCGACACGACTCACCGTCGACGGCGCGCGCCGTCAGACCAATGTCGTCGACGTTGCGGATACGGTTGCCGGTGAGATTCAGAGTCTGCAGATTATCTAATTCGCAGAGAAGATCCGCTGGTAACGCCAGCACGTTGCTTTCGATGATTTCCAGGGTGTGGAGCTCGCGGAGGCCGAGAAAAGAGCGCGGGGCGAACTCCAGGTGCCTGCCTGCGCCCCACGCGCCGTTGAAGGTTTGCACGACCAATCGCTTGAGCTCCAATAACGGTTGGAACGCAGCCTCTGGTACGCGCAGCACTTTGCAGCCGTGCACGTGCAGCTCGTGTAGACCGGCCAGTCGCTGCCAGCTTTGCGCGTTCAAGCTGCTTTCGAAGTGGTGTACGTCACTGCAGCGAATACGCAAGCGGAGCGCACCGTCAAGTGACGGCGCCAGGGAGACGATCGCAGTGGGGTCCAGTACGCGGAGTGCGCAATCCGCCGAACGGGTGTCGTTGCCGGCCTCGGTGGTCCATCGGCAAGAAGCCGCGGCGGGTCCAGGATGCGTCGACATCAGCAACAGTAGCAGGAGGGTGGTCGCGAGCAAACGACGAAACGGCGCAAACACAGTCGCCAGTGTCGAAGTTGTCAACGATGACGTCGTCGTCAACGATGTCAACGACGTCGCCGCCGTCGACGACGACGACGGCGACGACGACGACAGCGACGACGATGCCGCGGCGACGACACCACCCCTCGCCGTCGTCATGTCGCCGCGTCGCGTTTTCACGGGGCGCGAGATAGCTCTTCGTTGGACGTGAACGTCGAGTCGCGCGGTGACGACGACGGCGACGACGTTTGCCTCGGCAATTTCGGGGTGACCAGCAGCCCTGCCCGTATCTTCTCTTTCATTCACGTGAGCACAGACGTATTTCGGGTGGCACATATATACACATGCACACATGAGACACTCGGCACAAGCACGATAATGATGTTGATGTTGTTGTTGTTGATGATGATGATGACAACAACAGCGACGGCGATGACGATGACGACCGCGGCGACGGGGAGGACGAGGAGGTGGGCGACCACGACAACGACACACGCACGCACGCCACATATACACGCGCGACTTACAGAAGGGAGAGAGAGAGCGTGCGCGCGCGCGCGCGCTCACGCACCTCGTATCACGTATCAAACGCGGAGCGGCCCATTTCCCTTCTCGCCCTTAATCCGCGGACTGATGGCAACCCAGTTGCTTGCCCGGATTTCGCCGCACCGTGTGTTTCTGTCAATCACGCGTATTCGCCAACCCCCTTGTTATATGTATGTATGTATGTACGCACGTCGTCTCTCTTTTTCGCGCGATCGAGAGAGCTCTGTTCGAACCTTTCGCGCGAGATTATCCTTTATCGATGTCAAATTCAGCACAACGGGCCGTTGTGGCCTGGTTCCTGATAGCGCGTATCACAATTCCCGTGCGCGTATCGCGTCGCGATCGCGCGCAACGACGGAGCCGAGAACGCTCTTCCTCGACAATCAACGAAAACAGGCTCGTTCGGGTGCGAGCACACGGAGCACTCGTGCCGCACCGTCGCGCACGCACTCGCCTCGCATCGAGCACTAGCACTGAAAGCCGTAGGCGCCTGAGCGCGCATCATCGGCATTCCCGACCGTTGCGGCCCCCGGTTTCTCCCCTCTAACGGTGCTAGAGGGCACCACCTTGCTAGGACCGTCGTCGAGAGCGGGGGTAGTGAGAGCAAAGATAGTTGGCAGGGTTGAAGTTTGTTCTAAAAAATAGCACGTAATGTCATCATGAGAGGATAGTCGTGGACTTTTCGAATCTGAATTTCAAAGTAAAATTTTGTTCGTGCGAAATTTAATCCTTACAATTCGGCAAGCGAGGATATCATATTTTTTTACCAATCCTTTGATCTATATGAAAATATTTTAATTCAGGAACTGTAAAAGTCATCCGAAAAGCCACTTGGACTGTAGGGTTAAAGAAAATTATCTTGCGATTACCTAAAAAGTAGAACAGAGAATCACGTTAACGTCAAAATAACGAGAAAATTATTGAATCTTGATTAATTTTGATAAAAAGCGAGTTTTTTTACAGTCATTTTCGTCATTTTAATGTAATTGTGATTTTTCGTTTCAGCTGGGAAATTGGCATCGTGATTTTTCAAAGAATAAATTTCGAATGTTGTGCAAAGGAGAAATCTATAGTAATTGTCGCGTTTTCATTAGGTCCGTGCTTTTCAGTGCAAACTAGGCTGCACTTTTCACTTTTAGAGTAAAACGAGTATATACAGGCTGCGTTCCGCAGAGCGCATCATGTGCATGATACGCTGCATTAGAGTGAAAGAGATACGAGAGTGAGATAAAAAGAGAGGGAGAGCACTTAGGTGATGTTCTCGAACGCATGAGAGCGCATAGGTTGCCTCAGCTCCTGAGGTAGTGTAGTTCATGCGCTCTCATGCGTTCGAGAACATCACCCGAGTACTCTCCCTCTCTTTTTATCTCACTCTCGTATCTCTTTTGCTCCAACGCAGCGCATTATGTGTATGATGCGCTTTGCGGAACGCAGCCACAGGGTACAGTCCAACGGGTGCTGCAAATGCTTTGTAGCGTTTTTATTTCTTTCTCTTTCTTCATTCGAGTCTGAGGAATAGAACAAGAGGGAGAAACGCTGCGCAGCATTTGTAGCGGTTGTTGGACCGCACCTAAAATCTAGCGTTGAGAAGAAAAGAGGAAGTTCCATGATAGTACTAGTTCAGTTAAAAAGAACAAACCTGTTATCTCCAATAGGCGAATGGCTCCTGTACACAGGACGCGGTAATGCTTGCTGCGCGACGGAAGTTCGCACGACAGCCAATCAATATGCTGCTTTCCGTAATAACCTTCTAGCTCTTACAGAAAAACAACATATTGATTGGCTGTAGCGCGAACTTCCGCCGCGCGGCAAGCATTACCGCGTCCTGTGTGCAGAAGTCAGAGCCATTTTCCTTCGACAACGTCTACTTTTTGAAACCCTTGCGAACCTTCGAAATCACACCAGGAAGCTTATTACAGTTCAGGTACCTTATTCTCGAAAAATATTGCATACGATATTTCTATGCTAAAAACTATAGTTCATGTTACGTATATTACAGCTTTTCATAGAAATATTGTATGCGATATTTTTCGAGAATAAGACACTGTGTCAGAAGTGAAAATGCGTAAAGTGAGCGAATTCACTAGATATTGACCAATGAAATTATAAATATTCTAGTAAATTCGCGCATTTTTCGCATTTTCATTTCTCACACAGAACCGTAATAAACTCCTAGGGCCCTGATTTTCAAAAATATATCGTATACGATATTTGATGAATAGTTCATGTTACATATATTATAGCTTTTTACCATGAAGTAAAAGAGAAGTAGGTCGAATTCTATATAACGAAAGTGGTCCTGATTCGTGTCCTCCAATTAAGAGGAAATCCGCTGAAAAGAATAAAGCTGACCACACACACTTTCCGTAACTGTATGATGTAACGTAAGAATTGACCAATCATGTTGAGAATCGTCGAATTGTAAGGTTGTCATTTTTGTGAATACTCGATCGTAATTGGTCAATTCTTACGTTACGTCTTACGGTTACTGTTACAGAAAGTGTGTGTGGCCAGCTTAACTTCTTATGGTTGGGCGCCATTTGTAAAGCAATAAATTAGAGCGAGATAAGATATACTTGTCTCACTCTTACTGCACCAGTTCAGTGGTGCAGCTCTTTAACTGCACCACTGAACTGGTGCAGTAAGAGTGAGACAAGTATATCTT